GCCAGTGAGACTCTTATCTCCAATTAACTACCAGAAAACTAGGAGTGGTGCTGTGGCTCAAGTGGCAGAGCTCAGGGACAGCACCCAGGTCCAGAATTCAAGCCCTATGACTTGTGGGGGGGGGGAGGAAGTACTTAACTAGAAGTTGGTTTGTAGAAAGCCTTCCGGAACCATGCCTTTTGAGAATTTGTTTTCCCACAAATGGCTGTCCAGCATCTTGCTGGCTCATGCTTGTAATCTTAGCTTCTGAAGAGGCTGAGAGATAAAGATGAAAGGTGGAATCCAGTCCAGGAAGGAAAGTCCTTAAGACTCTTATCTCCAATTAACTGGGGGAGGAGGGGGGAGGAGGACTCACACCTGGATGTGTGTGTGTGTGTTTCAAGCATAAAAGCTTGGGGTCCTGAGTTCATCCCCAGAACCAGCACACACACAAAAACAAAAATTAAAAAAGAAAGCCAGTCACTGGATTTAGGGCTTACCCTTAAATCCAAGATAATTTGATCTTCAAGTGTGTGTGTGTGTGTGTGTGTGTGTGTGTGTTGATACTAGTGCTTGACCTCAAGGTATCATACTCTTACCTTTTTACTCAAGGTACTGGATCTCTACCACTTGAGCTACACCTCCACTTTTAGCTTTTGCTAGTTAACTAGAGCAGCAAGAGATTTTTGGACTTGTCTCCCCAGGCAGAATTATAGGCATGAGTTACTGGTGCCCAGCAGATAATTTGATGTTGATATCCTTAACTGAATTACATTTTCAATGACCCTATTTTCAAATCAGATCCTATTCCCCAGGCACTGGAGAGGAACATGGTCCAATCTGAGATGGCGCCAATGTGTTTCAGTCATCAAAGAGCTGTGTTTCGTTCTTTGCATTGCCAGCTTCTTATTCTATGGCTTTTGTCCATTAAAAAAAAAAGTCAATCATGCCAGGTGCAGTGGCTTACACCACTAATCCTGTTTAGAAGGCTGTGATCTATTCAGGAGGCTGAGATCTGAGGATCATGGTTTGAAGCCAGCCCAGGCAGAGAACACCATGAGACTCCTTATCTCCATTTCACAACCAAAAAGCCAGAAGTAGGGCTGTGACTCAACTGGTAGAGCGCTAGCCTTGAGCAAAAAGAAGCTCAGGGACAGTGTCAAGACCCTGAGTTTAAGCCCCAGGACTGGCACACCCACATAAAAAGACCACTCATGTGGTTGTCATGTTGAGTCCAGTCTCTGGCACTTGCCTCTGTTGATACCTGTTTGGGCTCACACATATGTGGATTCCATTTCCCCTGTTCCATTCCCAGAAGACAAAGGACTGGTGCCCATTCAGGGCAACTGCCAGGACTCAAATTCTCCCGAGCTGGCAAATCCAATCCATGGGGATAGGCCCAGAGCCCAAGGAGCTGCCCTTCCCCAAATTAGGTAGAAGCTTGTTTTGAGGGCACAGGAAATAGTTGATACCATCAGGACCAGAGATGGAGAAAGAATGGGTATAAGGAGAATAAATACTCCAGAATGCCTCCAGTTGTAGTTAGATATTTCGAGTCTCAGATTCGATTCTAATTGCTTTCTTTTCCTTTCCCTCTCTCGTTTTCTCTCCTCTTAGCAAACTGCCTAGTTGGGCTAGAGCTGTGGTCCCCAAAATATTTTATGTGACCGAGAAGGCGTGGAACTACTATCCTTACACAATTACAGGTAAGTCCTGCAATTTGCCCTGTGCTGCAATAGTAGCTGAAATTCCCTGAGTTGCCTCCAATTATCTGAGCAGAACCTTGTGGGGGCCTGTGGAGAAGAACACTATTAATGATATTTCTAGAGATTTGATTATCCTGACCCCCTTTCCCTTCCCACTCCCTGGGAGATGTCCACAGACTAGCTGTTGACTTGTTTTTACAACATCCTGGCCCTTCTAAATGATGTGAATTTATAGAAAAGTGTCTAATGAGTCTCTTTTGCTGTCCCCAACATCCTTTTTCTCTTGGAGAATGTGAAAAATCCTTACAATCCATTTCCCTTTTAATGCAATGATAGTACATTCTCTCGACCACAAACTGTGGCCCCTACGTTTAGACAGTTGGACTCCTGTTCCCAAACACGCGAAAATTCAAGATCCTACTTCAAGTTCCCAGTAGCAAGCTCTTCATATGGGTTATAAGAGCCGCTTTCCCACTTAAAAGATTTCTTTGATGGGTAATGAAATGCTCAGCTGGAATTATTAGTCTTTAATTCTGCTCTGACAATGCCAACACTTCGGTTTTTAATTAGCCACAAACCTATGAGCTAATTGAATCTTGTCTTATTGTCCTCATCTGGCCAACCACAAGAGCATCCTGGGAAAAGTTCCAGATTCAGTACATCATAGAGACATTCAGTGTTTATGAATAGCTCATGTTGGGGGGGGGTTCTTTACCAGATTTTAAATAATTATACCTCACTAGGTGTAATCTGTATTTGTTAGCTTTGTGGTTTTATGTCCTCCTTAAGTGTGATCTAAATAATTTTCTTTTTTTTTTCTTTTCTCTCTTCTCTACCTGGACATCTGGAATCAGAATACACAGTAAGTTTCATTTAATTTTTTTTTACTTAATGAGAATATTTAATGAGCAAGATTCCTTGTATTTGTCTTATCCATTTCATAATTTTAAAAAATAGGTATAACTCAGAACCAGAAATGGCTAAACATAGCCATTGTGTATAACATACATCATTGCATATAATGTAATAATTTGAATACTCCAATTTGTTCAAGAACATTAATGCTTACTCAAACACCTTTGATCTTGCCTTTACATGATTAACTTTTGTTTGTAATTTTGAAATAGCTTGGTAGCTTCATGGGTGGTAGTTTACTGTAACCAGAAGAATAATTGCTAGCAATGTGATAGTAAAGAGAGTATGGTATTTGTTGGTGGAAGGTGAGCTCATGTTAGACACTAAAAACCAGGAAGACATGAACAGACAGCTGCTGTGCACAGTGCACAGGGTAGACAGTCTCTGTGGCCTGATAAAATAATTTCCTTCCTGTCCTAAGAGACAGACTCTGTAATATTATTATTGTATTATTGTGTTGTTATATTCATTTGGTCATTTCCCTCAGTGGCCCCCAGGTCAAACCACCGTAACAAGAAAATAGTTAATAGAGCTGTGGGAAGAACTGATTTTATTTTATTTTTTTTTATTTTATTTTTTTTAAGGTAAAGCAGCATCAGTTTGTTTGAAAGCAAAAAGAAAGCCACAAAAGGGAAAAAAAAAGCCATTTGGAATGGAGTCCCAATAATTGGAACTTTATTTATTTTATTTTTTGTCAATCGTGGGGCTTGAACTCTGGGCCTGGGCGCTGTCCCTGGGCTCTTTCGCTCAAGGTGAGCACTCTACCAGTTTGAGCCACAGTTCCACTTCCAGTTTTCTGGTGGTTCATTGGAGATAGTCTCATAGAATTTCCTGCCCAGGCTGGCTTTGAACCACGATCCTGAGTTCAGCCTCCTGAGTAGTTAGGATTACAAGAGATATCAGTGCCCAGCTTAAAATGTTTATTTCCATCAAAATAACCAAAGAAATCAAGCACTAGTGACTCACGCTTGTACTCCTAGCTACTCAGGAGACTGAGCTCTAAAGAGCCAGCCTAGGCCAGAAAGTCTGAGACTCTTCTTTTCAGTGTACCACCAGAAAAACGAAAGTGGAGCTGTGGCTCAAAGTGGTAGAGCACTAGCCTTGAGCACCCAGGCCCTGAGTTCAATATCCACAACCAACCAAAAAACTAAACAAAAACAAAGGAAAGCAAGAGACAAAAAGAGGAATGGAGAAAAGTGATTTGTAATGTCCTCAATGTAAGGATGACAGGAACATAGTAGGAGCTCAATGCACAGTTGTGGAAAGACTGAATGAATGCATGGCCAATAGCTTGAGACACAGGCCACGTACACAGCGAGGCCTGACACGGGCTTCAGAGTTACCAAGGCCAACGGCCACTTACTACCTGCAGATCATAAGCAGAGCTCCCCCAATTGCCCAGGGGGTGTCTTCTCTGGGCTACAATCTCACCTGTCCTTTGAAGAATGAAAAACAGGAATAATATTTCAAGTTTGTCATTAAATTCAACTTACTTCACCTCCAGGGCTGTCGGTAATTCCATCCCTTCATACCCGGAGAGTAAATATCTTTTGTGAAATGATAGGAATAGCATTTTTTTTGGTCAAATGTGTCTACCTTTAGAGGAGAAAAAAGAGGGCAATAATTGTATGGTAAGATGCACATTTTAAATGTTAATGTTCACCGGGCACTGGTGGCTCACGCCTGTCATCCTAGCTCCTCAGGAGGCTGAGATCTGAGCATCTCGGTTCAAAGCCAGCCTAGGCACAAAAGTCCATGAGACTCTTATCTCCAATAAACCACTCAGAAAACCAGAAGTGGCCGCTGTGGCTCAAGCAGTAGAGTGCTAACTTTGAGCTGAAGAGCTGAGGGACAGCACCCAGGCCCAGAGTTCAAGCCCCACGACCGACTACCCCCCTCAAAAAAAAAAAAAAATCAAAGAATCACACTGGAACAAACAGCCATGTGGCAAAACTGGCCTTGGGGACTCAAGGAGGAGGGGTGAAGGAAGAGAGGCAAGGAAAAACACAGGACAGGAAGCGTGTACCCCAGAAGCCTGTCCTGCAGTGTGGAAGTCTAAACCCAGCCAAACGCTAGCAGGACCCCCTGGAAGATGCCTCTGCTTGGGTTAGGGTTGACTCAGGAGGTGAAGTAGAGGGGGCACATACCTCTCAGTATTTTCAGGAAAACTTGTTACATATCCCAGGTACGGATGGCTTCATCGGATTAGCTGAGGAGAGAATGTCATTGAAGGTAGGGGAAGACTTCCGGTGAAGGTGGCGCTGAGCCAGGGGACAAGGGACAGAGGACAGCCCCCTTGCACAGATCTGCTCTGTCGTAGTCAGCTCAAGCTGCTGTAACAAAACACCGCCAGGGGACAAGGGACAGAGGACAGCCTCCTTGCACAGATCTGCTCTGTCGTAGTCAGCTCAAGCTGCTGTAACAAAACACCGCCGACTGGAGGCAGGGCTGCCACTTCAGTAGATACTTATTTCTCCTCAGTTCTGGAGACTACAAGTCCGAGGGGAAGATGCCGGGCTGATGTGGTTGCTAGGCAATGCTTCTCTTCTTGGTGTGCAAATGATTGCCTTATGAGGGTCCTAATCCTCTCCTCGGGGGCTCTGCCCTCGGGATCCTGTCTAAACCAGATGACCTCCTAAAGGTCCCATCTCCAAATGCTCTAAGTCAGGGCTGTAAGCGGAGGTGCTTAATCCAGGCAGGTAGCATTGTGGGTCTTGGCCTCCAGAACTCCTGGAAGGCAGGTGGCAGGTGGTATTTTGAATGTCGGGTCAACATAGGCGTTGGCTTCTCCATAGGAAATCTGAGTTGGTCCTGATTAGCTCACTTTTTTTTTTTTTTTTTTTAACTTTCTAGTTTAAATCCAGAACAGCTTTTCTTGGCATCTCCCCAGGGTGTGGGGGCTGGAGCTGTTTCTCTTTCGCTCAGGTGCGCCCCCTGCAGGTTTGCAAGCGCGGGGCTGAGGCTGGAGGGAAGGGGAGCTGTCACAGACTATGTGTTCAGGCTCTCTGCGTGCAGGGTTTGTGACAGATGCTTTCAATTGTCTTCATCTTCCTGTTTAAAATGTTTTTTTTTTAAATTGTGCTCTTTATCCCCAGCCCTTTCATCCTTGTACCTCATTTTGATGTCTTTCTCAAGCTCGGTTTTTCTCAGCTCTGTATCCCCTAAAGCACAACTTCCCCAATACCCAATGCCAGATTCCCAAGGAAGAGCCTCACACCCTCCATCCCCCCCACCCCACCCTCCTCAAGGGTTGAAAAACTCCAGACCAGTTCAGCCACCATGAGCCCTGACATGTCCACTTGGGACTAGCCTGTGTCCCGCTCTGACGGTCCAGCTGGTAGTCAGACCTTAGCCTGCCCTCATTTGCAACAAAAGTCAGGCAAAGAGAATGTTCTATGTGGGGTTTTCTGGACTTCCACATTTCCCCAGTTACCAAGAGATAAAAGCTTCATCACTGCGAGAAACCCTGTGTTTACGATTCTGTGGAAATACCATGTGCCCAGGAAGTGGAAAAAATGCCTTTAACTTGATTATGGAAAGAAAAAAAAAATCTTAGTTATATAGCAAACAAAGAACAGCACGATGAATTTCCCAGAGGACAAACTGTTTTAAACCAACATAGCCGAGTCACCAAAACCAGCCAAGTGCTTCCGGACAGCTACCTTCCCAAGGAGTTGGTTTTATTTTTCCTAAAGCTTAAAAGAAAGAGAAGAGGGAGGTGAGGGTGTGGCTCACTGGTAGAACGCTAGCCAATGAGCGAAAGAAGCAGGTACTGAGTTCTAGTCCCTGTCTCAGAACAAAAGAAAAGGGGGGGGAGCCTGTACTTGAAGTTGAACATTGCTTCATAGCATCAATTCAGGCTCACTGGTAATGAAGGAGAAATGATTTTTCCCCCTTTTTGCGAGCATTTGAAGAGTCTGGCTATACTGACAGTGACCTAGAGTACACAGTTGGTATATATGCTTCGTTACTGTGACATCTCGCCACTACAGCATCTTTTAAGAAGAATCTGTGAGACAGACAAATGAATGCTTTCTGCTAGTCAAAATGTGGCCTTGTCATGAGGAGACATCCCATTGTCATTCGACATCTTAATTATTTAGGTGAAAGAGGAAGAAAGAGAACGTCCAAGAAGAATTAAGTGACTTTTTCCGGGTGCTAGTACTTGGGCTTGAACTCAGGGCCTGGCTGTCCTTAGCTTTTTCACTCAAGGTTAGCACTCTACTATTTGAGCCATGTACCTACTTGTGGCTTTTTGCTGATTAATTGGCGATAAGAGTCTCTTGGATTCATCCACCTGGGCTGGCTTCAAATCAGGATCCTCAGGTCTCAGTCTCCTGAGTAGCTAGGATTTATAGGTGTGAGCCATTAGGGCCTGCCTGTGAAATGGCTGTTTTTTGTCGGTCGTGGGGCTTGAACTCTGGGCCTGGGCTCTGTCCCTGCACTCTTCAGCTCAAGGCAAGTACTCCACCACTTGAGCCACAGCACCACTTCTGGCTTTCTGATGGTTTATTGGAGATAAGAGTCTCAGACTTTCCTGCCCGGGCTGGCATTGAACCATGATCCTCAGATCTCAGCCTCCCGAGTAGCTGGGATTACAGGCATGAGCTACTGGTGCCCAGCTGAAATGGCTTTTTAATGACAGCCTCAAAAGGTACTGAGCCATCAGAGTAGACCAGAATGGAATAAAGAGTAGGGATGCTTGAAGCTGAGCATGTGACCCTGACACAATCACCCAAGGTGAACTTGTCAATCTTCTCAGGAGTGGCAATGGGGACTAAGATAGTTCTTTTCTGAAAGCAGCAAACTCTCTCTTGGCTGGAATTTCACTCCCCATTTTGGCCTCTTAAGTAAGTTCTAGAGTGGATGAATGACCTTCATCTCTGTCAGCCTCGCCCTGCCTGCTCTGAGTTCCAGCCAAAACATCCAGTAAACCTCTGAATTACA